GCCCCCGCGGCCGGCATTCCCTGCTGGGGACCCCAGTGGTGTCGATGGGGGAGCCCCAAGTGGCCCCTCAGGCTCTGTGGGGTGGGAGAGGAAAATCTAGTGGGTCCCCAGGCTCTGGGTTGACTCCAAAGGGCAGCCAAAGGGACAGAGAGAGACCTCCCCCAGCGTCCCCACCCCTCTGCCGCCCCCTACCCCACAGCCCCCTGCCCCCCCCAATGTCCCCCCTGCATCCCTACCCAACAGCCCCTCTGCCCCCGCCATCTCTCCCACCAAGGCCCCTCTGCCCCCCCATGCCTCCTCTGGCCCCCACCTCCCCCCACAGCCTATCTGCCCCCCAGCTCCCTCATGCCAACCCCACAGCCCCCCGCCTCCCCCTGCAGGCCCCCCCACCCACACACACACACCTCCCCACACTCACTTTGGAGGCCTTGGCGACCACATCACGCCCGGTGGCCAGTCCCTGCACGAAGGCCCGAGCTGCCACGAACGCCCGCGTCACCTGGGGGAGACAGGAGGAGTGAGGGGAACACCCTGAGGCCCCCAAAAACCCCCAGCTCCCCCAGAGATCCCCCCAGCCCAGAGCCCCGAGTCCCCTGGCCACACCCCAGAGCCCCCAGCCCCCCGGAGACCTCCCCAGTGCCCTGGCCACACCCCAGAGCCCCCAGCCACCCGGAGACCTCCCCAGTCCCCTGGCCACACCCCAGAGCCCCCAGCCCCCCCAGTCCCCCAGCCACACCCCAGAGCCCCCAGTCCCCTGGCCACACCCTAGAGCCCCCAGCCGCCGAAGACCTCCCCAGTGCCCTGGCCACACCCCAGAGCCTCCAGTCCCCCAGCCACACCCCAGAGCCCCCAGCCCCCCAGCCACACCCCAGAGCCCTCACCCTGCCGAAGACCTCCCCAGTGCCCTGGCCACACCCCGGAGCCCCCAGCCCAGAGCCCCCAGCCCTGGCATGGGGAGCTGTGAGAGGACACCCAGGGTCTCCCCTGGCTCAGCCCCCTGGGCCCCAGGTAGCCCCCAGCCCCAGCCCCACAGGCCGCAGCGCTGGGCCCAGCCCGGGGGTGGGGGGATGCGGAGTCTCACCTGCAGGCGCAGCTTGCGGGGCACGTCCCCGAAGGGCCGCAGCGCCTCCCCCTGACGCGCCACGCACTCCAGGTACTCGGCGGGGAACTGGTACTGGGGGTTGAGCAGGGGCAGCATCCGCTCCAGCAGCCGGGCCCAGAACTCACCCAGCGCCTCGTCCAGGCTGAGCCGGGCGCCCTGCTGGTGCCGCCGCAGCTCGGCGAAGAGCCCCTGGAAGAGCCGTGCGTTCTGGGCGTACAGGCGGCCATAGGTCTGCGTGAACATGGCCTGCAGCCCCCGCTCGGCCGCTGCCAGCAGCTCCCGGAAAAACTCTGCACGGGGGGTGGGGGGAGGGAACGGGGAAAAACCCCAGGAGATGTCAGGCAGATTGAGGGGACCCTCAGCCCCTGCCCCCCCGTACACGTCTCCCGGTCCCTGTCCCCATCGCGGTGGGGGCTGGTGGGTCACAGCGGGGGGGGAACCAGGACGCCTGGGTTCTCACCCTCGAAGTGGCGGTGGCGCGAGGCTCTGGGAGGGGTCTGGGGGCTGGTGGGTCACAGCGGGGGAGGCTGGGGGGTTAGAGTGGGGGGGTGTGCCAGGACGCCTGGGTTCTCACCCTCGAAGCGGCGGTGGCGCCAGGCCAGGGTGCTGGACAGGAAACTGGCCCCGTCCTCCACCAGGGCCCGGAAGTCCCTGTCGCTCTGCAGGCTGAGCTGTTCCTCCATCTCGCTGAAGCAGCAGGTGTAGTCCTGGGGGCAGATCCGCAGGTGCTCCCCTGAGGGGGGGGGGCAGAGAAAGCCACCACCAGTCAGTGCCTGGCCATGAGGGGCCCTCAGCTCACCCCACCCGCACAGAAGGGGGGAGGGGCAGTATACACAGACCATCTCTCTCCCCCCCCATGCCCAGACAACTACAGCTGTCCCCAGCCCCCCCCCCAAACCATCTGATCCCCGCGCCCAGGCCTTGGGGGGGGGGGGGAGGGAACCAGTGTCAGATGCTTGGGAGTGCAGGGGGTAGCTGGGGGGTGGGATTTTAGCTCATATGGGGGCTACAGGCTTGTCCCCCTGACAGACCTGCCCGGGGGGGGCTGCTGCCCCTCCAACAGGGGGTGTTTACTCCCTGGCTGGAGGGGGAATTGGGGCAGGGGCTCAAGCCTCAATGGGAGCAGGATGGAGGGTGCCCCCCCCTACCCGACATGAGCCCAGGGGGAGCAGAGACGGGGGTGCGGTGGGGAGGGGGCAGGGGGTCCCATGTGGAGTGCGTTAGGGAAGATGCAGGGGGAGCCCGGGGAGCACATGGGATGAACTGGCTGCAGGATGGGGATGCAAAGAGGAGGGTGAGTGGGAAGGTCAGGGGGGTGCAGTGGGGGGCCCCACATGAATGGGGTGCAAGGCAGGGGGTTGCAACGGGGATGGTGCAGGGGAGAGGTACAGGGGGACCCCAGGAGGTGCCCTGGCTGCAGGATGGGGGTGCAAAGGGGATGGTGAGTGGGGAGTGCAGTAGGGGGCCCCCCCATAAATGGGATGCAGGGCAGAGGATTGCAACAGGGATGGTGCAGGGGGTAGGTACTGGGGGGGATAGGGGGATCCCAGGGGTGTATTGGCTGCAGGGTGCAATGAGGAAGGTACAGGGGGACCCCAGGGGCGGCTATGGGGGTCCCATGCACAGGGTGCAGGGCAGGGGGTTGAAACGGGGATGGTGCAGGGAATAGGTACAGGGGGACCCCAAGGGGTGCACTGGCTGCAGGGTGGGGGATGCAATGAGGAAGGCACAGCCGGCGACACAGGGAGGCTGCTGGGCGGGCCACAGGGAGGGTGCACTGGGTGCAGATGCAATGAAGAGGGCACAGGGAGACCCCAAGGAGGCTGCTGGGGGGGACCCCAGAGGATACTTGCTGCACAGGAGTGTAGGGTGGGCGGGGTGCAAAAGGGAGGCTGCGGGGAGGGTGCACTGGCTGCAGGGGATCCCGGGGGGGAAAGGCTGGGGGGATGCATTGGGTGCAAGGTGGGGGGTACATTGGATACAAGATGGGGGCACAGGGTGCAGGATGGGGGGGTGCATTAGGTGCAGGCTAGGGGGGCACAGGGGGCAGGGTGGGGGGTGCATTGTGTGCAGGC